ATATATATATATATATATATATATATATATATATATATATATCAATCCAACCTCCGATTTAGATAAGCTTTTAGCTACTAACAAAATACGGAACTCCAGGGTGAGCCATAATTTGAAACACCTGGTCACACCAATGGATTTCGCGATTTCTGCCGAAATGACACTAGCTTATGCTGAAGAATTGAAATAGTGAAAGCCCTCCAGAACTACCGTAACCAGGTTTCTTCACAGTTATTTCTTTCGAATACGAAAAAAGCCTTGGCCAAAGTTCAGTTAATCGATGTTAGTAGCTATCAAGCATTTGATTAATATTATTTAAAGAAATTAGCATTGTGGACTCAATATCTGATTGTCTAAAGTGTTTAATTACAGAATGTTTAGGTAACCTGTAATTATATAATATTAATTATGTATAATACTAATTATATTTTTTATTTATTTAACTATTTTAACCACGAACAACCATTTTTAATTTGTAAAGGCCGTAAACTTTTAAATAATAAGAGCCAAATTTCAATTGTTTTCGTAAAGGACTTGCTCCATGCACTTATTATAAGTTCGATGTAATTAATTACTTTTACCGATCCGATTTATCTTAAACTTTGTAAGAACAGCATTTGGCAATGTTTGTTTTTGATAAGCGAGCAAAATGAATTTCATTCTAATCATATCAAAAGGCTAAAAACCTCGTCTTATTTCTTATTTTTTAAAACTGTTAGCTATTAACAATAAATGATTAAAAAGTTTCACTCTTCGATTGGAATTTTCTTATTAGTCAAATTAAATGTATCATTCATTTCTTCCCGTTGATTTCATCAAATTTTGTTGCTTTTATATGAATTCAACGGTATTTCTTAGTACAAACGAGAAAAATGAAACTATCACTTTAAAACTTTACTGAATTTTTTAAATTTAAAAAATGTCTATTGTAAATTCATAAAAAACAAAAGAAAAAAATGTTACAAAAAAACAGTTGTGATTAATTTAATTTAGATTGGCAATTTTAATGGAAATGAAACAATGACACGCCTTTATTATTATAAAATATATGAAGGAAAGTTCAAGTTCAGCAAGCAAAACATAAATGGAAAGGTAGCAAGTAAACAAAGTATACGATTGTGCGAACTTGGGACTTGATTACACGAACTTGGTGGAATTCCTGTTGAAGCACATGTCTCCCGAAATTTTGACTGTCGAATTTAAATGATCAAGATTGAATGAATAAGAAATGACAAAATAGACAGATTACAATACAACCCATAATAAAGAATAGTTCAGAGAATATTCATAATATTAAAACATTTTGTTCGAATTTTAGGAACCATTTCTTCATATTTCATTTTCTTTAGTTTTTATTTATTTTTTGTTGCGCAAAACAAATCTTTTAAAATTTTTACAACAGAAAAAGAGAGGGACTGAGTAATTTTTGCAATAGAAAAGTTTGGGAGAAAAAAAACGTCGCCTTTCTATGTTGACATTGTATTTTTAAAGTTTTTATTACTTGCAGAAATTTTGTCGAATATGAATTTCAAATATAATTTCATTTTCAGCGTTTGTTTTATTTTGCTGAACATTAAAAAAACTTTTTTTTTGTAAAAAAATCGCTTGTTTGGCGGATTAGAGTGAAAATTATTTTAGTTCAATTCAGCGACAAAAATGCTACCTACACAAGTCATGGTGTTTACAAACAACATTTTAACCTCTGACCCGGAAACAGGGCAAAATTGCTGATTTCTTTTTATTTTTTAACACCAACCAAATGCAGCAAACAATTAAGCGGAATTAATGGTGGTATAATACCATGGACGAATTGTTCCAAACACGACTTGCTACAATCCAGATCACTGATGATAGATAATACAGGAAACATTGCAAATCACCCAACACTCATAGAAGGCTAGGCTACACTGCGCCAATTTAAAAATAGAAAAAATAGTAGTTTAAAAAAATCAAAGGTAAAAAATGAAATCGAGAGAAGAGGAAAGGGGGCGAAATTTATCAATCTAAACTTCAGGATCATTGGCATTGATCATATGACCAGTGTCCTGTGTCCTCATAAATCATCCAACCTGTTCCCTCGTTCAATCTAACACTAAAGATAACTATACTATATGCTAAACAGAATTAACATGCATCCTTTTAACAAAGTCAAACCACCATCAACTAATGAAAATCAAAGAAGAAGATAAAGATAGAAATTTACAAATTGATTTCAAAATATTTTTTTTACAATAAAATTGGAATGAATAGTTCATGTACTCTCAGCCAAAGTATGTGTTACCTATAACACACACTTCATCCCTATCCCATCATCACTAGCTATTACAACCAATAAATAAGAACAGAAGAAAGAGAATTTTCCAAATGTAACTTGAAAATAACTATTTGAAAACCGAAACACAGTAATAATCACGTGTACACTTGAAATCTTCTAGTTTTAGTAATATATTTAACACCTTTGAATGGCTTATACTTTTCACTATACAAATCCAAACGATTGACTTTTAACCCCGACACAGCCAGCTGATTAATTCTGAAATATACGACAATTGGTAACGCTTCAACACTTGCTGTACCTCTCTCCGAGACCTAAAAGTAATTACTTGTTTTTTTCATTCATTCAGGATAGTCAGGAAAATATGTGTTCGTTTTTAAGCTGTACATTTCTTAGCTAATCAGTTAAGAAAATAATTAAGACAGTAAGTGTCTTCAGTTTCTCACTTCTTGTTTTAACGATTAAAAATAGTTTGCTGAATCGAGTACAGATCATACTAGAAAGTTTGACATTTAGAAATTATTACTCAAAAGAAAGTTTCATTACCCCTAAACTTACTTCTGTGCACAAATATGGTAGGAGAGTAAGCGGAAATTTCCATCAGGTACACAAATGACAATACTCGCTCACTCTGTCAAGTTCATGGAAACCATATTAATCAGCAAAAGGAAAAAGTATCTTACATCTACTAAATGTCTTGGAACTCTACGAAATGCAGATTTATGTTTTAACTTTAGAATGGATGAATCTATCAAACTGGTTCTCCGAGATGAAAAATGCAAAAACTCGTTTTTCCGTGTGAAAAGTTGTCTCAGATAAATGAAAAAATAAGAAAATACTGATTTCCCATCATTTAAATCGTACACAAAGGGGAAATGAGACAACATCTAGCAATCTTGGATTAATTAATGCCATCATTAGATCAGGTATGCTAGAAAGTTTATAGCAACAATCTATCTGAAAAAACAGTTTTCATACATCAAAGCAGAGATCGAATGCAAGGATTTGAAAAGCTCACCTGGCTGATGGCAATGTAGGAATAAGACAGGCATTTATGAAAACATTTTAAATAAACTTTTGAATGTTAAACAGAAGCATGAATGAATTGAAATACAAGGAATGGTTACGTAGAAAATATTAAAATAAGCTTTGAAAAAGCGGAGATCGCCAACAATTAATGCGGTTAGGAAAGAGTTTAAATTACTGATATATATCCTTGTATCTCAGAGAATACAGTAGCACATTGTTGATCAATTATGGCATCAATTTCCTCAATAACGTCAGAACAGGCTTCATTGTTTGTATGCTTAACATCAGCTTTTCTAAGGTATATCTGAAAGTTTAGCAGTTGGTAACACTTCCGAAACATTCGTTCGACCCATAACCTGCGAAAAAAAAGGAACTTTTTCCAGTACTACGATCGTGACACTCATTCAGTAGTACCATTGTAGCATTCAATCAGTAGTACCACTGTATCACTCATTCAGTAGTACCACTGTAGCATTCAATCAGTAGTACC